GACTCTGTTCTGTTCCATTGGTCTATATCTCTGTTTTGGTACCAGTACCATGCTGTTTTGGTTACTGTAGCCTTGTAGTATAGTTTGACTGACTGAATAATCTTAAATGAGCTGTCTCCAATGTACATTCATTTTTCCTGCTTGATCAAGTCTGCTGTGGAATTCTATATTGCATTTTCCATTTCATTTATTATATTCTTCAGCTCCAGAATTTCTGGGATTTTTTAGTGATTTCTGTCTCTTCATTTAACTTCTTGTTTTGTTCATTGTTTTCCTGATTTTATTGATTTGTCCATCTGTGCCCTCTAGTTGCTTACTCAGCTTCCTTAAAATATTAATTTTGATGTTTTTGTCAGGCAATTAATGGAGCTTCATTTCTTTCAGTTTGGTTACTAGAAAATTGTGTTCCCATGGTGGCTCACGCCTGTAATATCAACAGTTTGGGAGGTTAAGACGGTTGAATCCCTTGAGGTCAGGAGTTCAAGATCAGCCTGGCCAACATGGCGAAACCCCATCTCTACTAAAAATACAAAAAAATAGCCGGGTGTGGTGGCAGGCATCTGTAATCCTGGTTACTCAGGAGGTTGAGGCTGGAGAATCACTTGAACCTAGGAAGTGGAGATTGCAGTAAGCTGAGATTGTTCCAGTGCAATCCAGCCTGGGTAACAGAGTGAGACTCTTAAAAAAAAAAAATTGTGTTATTTTGGTGGTGTCATATTCCCTTGTTTTGTTTTGTTTGTATTCCTGAAAGTCTTGTATTGTTGTCTGTGCCTTTGAAGAGGCTGTCACCTCCTTCAGTCTTTACTGACTTGCTTTAGGAGAGAAACACCTTCACCAGATCAGGGATTCTGAGTCTCTCTCAGACTTTTGCTATGGATGTGCCTGCTCCACCTATTTGGTTTCCTCTGGGGCAGAACTTCTTAAGATTGTTTGCCCTTTCTCAGTCCCACAAAGCCAGACTGTGTGCTGGGAGTCTCTCACTTGTTTTTTTAGGCAATGCTCTGAAATGCTCAAGTTTATGTTCCTTCTCCCACTCCCACAAAGCCAAGGTGGCTGGCTGTGTATCCTGGCCAGACAACTGCAAGTGCTCACACTGACTATCTGTCAGGCACATGAAAGGAGCTAGCTACAGTTATAGAGGGGAGGCTGAAAAACACAATCTGTTGGGAGGACCTATGGGTCAGTTATGGTGGTCCACAGGTGAGGCATACCGAACAGGTCATGGGCAAACTTTCTGTTGGAGAATAATAGAATATACAGCTCTTTGTTTAGTTTTGAACCTTGGTTGCTGAGAGTCCCTACCTCTCCTCCCAGCTCCTAACCTCTCCCAGCCACTCAGCCTTGTTGATGCCCTCAGTATTCTAAGTGGGGCAAGAAAGAAGTAGGCCTCTAGGACAATGTCCTGCACAGTTGGGGAATCCTCACTCATTACATTTTTACTTTCCCCTGTGGGGACAATTGGGAGTTGAAGGAGTTTCTCCTGGCATGGAGCTGTGCCACCTTGAGGGAGGGGCGAAATGGGTAAAATGAAACTATTCTTACTCTCTTCAGTGAGTCTAATTTTATAAGCTTTGTTCCAATGATATGGTGAAATTTCTCCGCTGGACTTCCAAACTCCCACAAAAATATTCTTATCAGCAGGTGGCTGCCAAAATCAGTAAACTGTGCGATGTTAGAAAACTCCTATTTTGCCATCTTGCTTATATCACTTTGAAAATATCTTTATTCCACACTCATTTTCATAGTTTTGGAATATTAGTTTGGTGGTGTATAGGATTTTAGTTGAAAATCATTTTCCTTCAGAAGTTGGATATATTTCTGTATAATTTTCTCATTCCAAATATTTTTGAGAAGTCAAATGTCATCTAGATCTTGATCCTTTGTGTGAAACCTGATTTTTCTCTCCCCTCTTAATCCTCAATACTCCTTGAATGAGTGAGCTTTTCCAATCTGAAATAAACTTGTTCATTGTTTGAAATTACTGAAATATTCTTGAATTGTTCCTTTAGTATTTTCTGTCCTTTGTGTTCTCAGTTTACCCTTCTTACAACTTCATTACTCAGATACTAAAATGTCTCAACTATTAAAAATTCATCTTTACTGTCTTTTTGCCTAATATTACCACATTTTATAGAAGACTTCTTCACATTTATCTTTTGATTCTTCTATAGTTTTTCTTTCAATCATTCTTCTGAGTTAGGACATCAATTTAAGAAAAATGTCATGAAGTCTTTTTCATCCCACTTTTTATGTCTGTAACCTTGGCACAATGTCTGACACTTTTAAGTCCTCAAAGAACAGCAATTTTAAAAGAGTGTGTGTGTGAAAAAAAAGTGTGTGTGTGTGTACACACACATCCACACACATTAATAATGTATATAGTCACAGTATATATATTATATTACATTCTTTCAGCACACTAATTCTTTTTCCTGTGTTCTCTAAGGTAGATAAATTTTACACATTTATAACTGAAGCCAGATCATTTTGGTATGTTTTTGGTTCTTTTTTTGACTTACATTCTCCAATTCTTTTTTATTTCTAATAATTATAGATAACATTATTACAGCACTTTGTCCCAATTGCTTTTCTGTATAATCTCTTTTAATCTTCACTACAACTCTATGATAAAACCATTCATATAATCACTATTTTTCAGAGTAGGAAACTAAGGCATTGGGAGTTTAAAGGACTTGCCTAGGGCTACCCAGCCAGAAAGTATATAGCTAGGATTCCATCTTAAGCCGACAGACTCTGCTCTGAATTATTTTAAATTTAAACTGTAAACAATATAATACAAATTTTTAAACAAATAATATAGCACCATTTTCACCACAGTAGGCAATTCCATTTTCAGTAGAAGATAAAGAGACATCATCTTTTTCTTAAAATCATATTTTAATTTACTTCTGCTTCCATGTCCTGGTTTACACATAATTTAAGGATATACCATTTTAAGGCAGGGACCTGTGGAGATAAGGCATCATGCATATCAGCATGCAATGAGCCCAGATTGGAGAGTGAATAGAAAAAGCTAAACAGAGAAAAGGAGAAATTTATACTCTTGTTCGTTGAAGATATTTAAAGTAAAGACGTTTAAGGGAAAATGTTAAGAATGATTCACAACTTATATTATTGACCTGGCTGCCCATTTTTTAGTGACTATTTAATGGAAGAAGTTCTAGGTGTTATGGCCTTCCAAAAACAAGAGAAACAGGCTTTTTCATTAAATTCATACATAATGGAGCTCCCAAACTTTTGGAGGCTCTTATTTAGAAGTCAGAATAGTTCAGTAATAATTTTAGGACCACATGATTTCATGAAATTTTAAATGGAGAGAAATGGGGTGAGAAACATCACAAATCCCCCACTTTGTACCCCTTTGTACCCCTATTTGGCAGTGGATAAGTGACCTGTTCTGGATTTGACTACCCTCCTGCTGCTTCAAGGGCTTTGAAGTCCTGCAGACATGGTGGTCTAGATGAATGGAATCTAGAAAGGTGGAATCTTTTGTTTCTTGAGCATCCATCATCAAAAAGTTCAATTATATCCTGCCAGAAACTCTTCCTTATCCTTCCGTCAGATATGAAGTACTGGGAAAGGCCAGTTCTTTTTGAAAATTTTTACATCCTTAATAATAGTTTCAAGAATTGAGAGAAAGTAGTACTGCAGGCATATCATATCATAACAGCTTCATATAGCTTCTTCCCTTGTAACTTTTGCAGGGCCTACTACATTGATCCATTTCTGTCAATTGATTGAAATGTCCCCCACATCTTTCATTCCTCTAACCCTCACATTTATGGATTAGGTTTGCAGCTTTTGCATTTTCAGTTTCATAGAAAAATCTGTGTTTTTCTGTCACACAGCCAGTAGCACAGCTGTGACAGCAGATGAGCAAATCTCCAAGGGCAATCAGCCAGGCTGGCTACCTCAGAGACTCCAGGGAGGACCCAAGGAAAGCTGCTTGTCTCTTCACACTTTCAGGCAGATGCAGAGCTACACTCTGTACGCACCAAAAAAAGAATTGTATAAAATTTAGTAGAGCCCAATATTAGTTTGGGAATATCTATCAGTTTTGGGTGTGTTCTTAAGTATTTTTCACATGTATATGTTCAACCTTCCTAGCCTTATAAAATGATTATTGGAAGAAAGATTTTATCTTCTGTTTTCTTTACATCTACTTGTTCTCCCTTCTCTCAGTAGTGGCACTATAACTTAATAACTTAAGCTATTTTTATTTCTTTAGGTTACTAAAGATCAAAGTTTTATCTTAGGCCAAATACACAATTGTCCTCAATCTTATAACCAATTTTAAACTTTTATTATAAAATATTATTTAACATTCAACTTTTATTAAAAATAATGTATATATGATTAATAATATTGATATGTTATTAAGCTTTTATTTCTACTTCAATGGTTATTCTAAATGGCGTTTATACCATATACTGACTCATAGTTTAATAATTATCTAAATATTAGAACTGTAGTTTAAAGAATATTTGTTGGAACATTTTCATGTACTTTGTTTTTTTCACATTTTAGGTGTACAAGAATTTCCAGAAAACATAAAGTGCTGTAAGTGTTTAACAATTATTGAAGCCAGTGTCAATCCCATTTCTAAGTGAGTATGAGTGATTAAATTTTATTTATTTTTATGTTTCCATTGTATAATAATGTACCAAGATAGATGAAATGCACATCATAATTTAAACTGAAATGTAACATTGACATAGCATTTAATAGAATGATGGGAAAAATTCATCAGAGTAGTTTGACAAAAGATGATTAAAAACATTGCTGAGTAGCAAGGAAGACCCAATTGGCAAAAGATGGTATTACTTTGAAGCAAACTTTATCACCATTTTCCACAGCTCTCAGATAACACTCCATAGATAAGAGTTGAAACTAATAAAACGGTTATTAGTAATGGTCATGGTGGAAAACTAGCATAAAGGGCCTGGCAGAAGTTCAAGATAGTGCAAGAGTTTAAGGTAAGGATAAGTGCATAAAAATAACCTATCATGTAGTTCAAGGGAATTAAGTATGACCAGAAATAGAAAGTACTTGTATACCAGAGATCGCAGCAAGAGCAAAGAGATAACCCTAGGAGGTCAGGAAAATGGAAGGCCTGGATGATAGAGATGCTGTGATCAGAAAATGGGTATTTGTAGTCCAAGATCTGTTAATTAAGAAATGCCGTAGAAAAATGATAACCAGAAAGTGACCATGTTGGTGAGTTGAGCATATGGTGTAGTGACAGAAGTCTGTGGAATCAAGTAGGTCAGGAAGCAATAAAATAAATTGATTGGAGGAGTCATGAACCTGAATGTTAAAGTCACTTAATAATGGAAGTAGAAATAAAATCTAGAGAGGTTACTGACAGTTGTAATATTTAGAAGAGGTTGAAACAAGTCAGTGGTATTGGGCTGCAAAAAATGAGCTTCAGAGTAAGACTGGCATTTTAATTATACAAAGCTGACAGTAGGATTTGAAAAAAATTCCTCAATATTTTGTCTGATGAAGTGCAGGAGACTGGGGGAAACTGAAGCCCACTGGAAAAATATTTAATGGATGGAGTGTTTTTAGAAGAAGACATAAATAAATTTGTCAAAGGGAAGTTGATGGGAAATCGTCTACCAGTAGAGTTGAGGAGAGGGAATAGTGAAAGTGGTTCTCTATGGATGATGGAAAGAGGCTCTAGACAAGGTGAGGAGTGGAATAGAATGTAAAAGAATGAGATCAAAGTTTAGATGGAGATCTTTATAGTGAATGGTTTGTAAAATAATCGGAGGCCTTTATGTTAAAAATTACAGTTTTTCTTCCCGAAAAGTAGATAGGGAGGGGAAAAAAGAGAAAACAAAACCCTAAAAAGCTTTTCCCAAAACTCTTAGACCAAAAAAGCAATTTTTTCAACATCTCAATCAAATAGATGTTACTAATTTCTCCCACCAGGACTATAACCATGTCCCTGAATTGAGTCAAAACAATTCAGTATTGACAATAAATTGCTTTTTTTTCCTCCTAATTATTTAATTCTAATAGCTCATCTTATTTAGGAATTATGGTAGGTCTTTGGGAGTGGAAGCCAGATGATAAATTACATCTCCGAGAAATTTCAAGTCCATGGGTTTATTGGATATGTCTAATTCCCTTCATATGTTTAACTTTTTAAAAGATAAATAAATATGACCTATTTCAGCAAAATGCATAACACTATAAACATTAAACAGTTTTGGAATTCACAAAAATTATGAAAAGTCATTATAAATTGTTTATCAAATTTTAAAGTCAAGTTTTTAAATATGTTTTTTCTATACAATAAAATTCACTCTGGCCAGGCATGGTTGCTCACACCTGTGACCCCAACACTTTGGGAGGTCAAGGCAGGAGGATCGCATAAGTTCAAAACTGGCCTTGGCAACATGGTGAAATCCTATCTCTACAAAATATACAAAAAATTAGCCTGGTGTGGTGGTGGATGCCTGTAGTCCCAGCTACTTGAGAGACTAAAGTGGGAGAATCACTTTAGCCTGGGAGGACAAGGCTGCAGCGAACCATGATCATGCCCCTGCACTCCAACCTGGGCATGAGAGTATGACCCTCTCACAAAAAAATAAAATTAATTATATTTAGGTGTATGGTTCAATGAATTTCAACAAATGTATATGGTCATGTGACCATCTCCATAGTTAAGATATAGACTATTGCATCATCTCAAAGAGTTCCCTTAGCCCAGTCATCCACTGATGATTACTATCCCCATTGCTTTATCTTTTTCAAAATGAAAAATAAATGATATCATACTTTTGTGTCTAACTTCTTTTACTTAACATAATGATTTTGAAATTTATTTGTAATTTTTCAATAATCAGTACTTTATTCCTCTCTATTGCCAGGTAGCATTCCATTGTGTGGATATAACATTATTTATGTATCTATATTTCAGTTGATAGGCATTTGGGTTGTTTCCAGTTTTTGGCTATTATGAATAAAGCTGGTACAAACTATGCACAAGTGTTTATGTGAGCATGTATTTTCATTTCTATTGGGTGAAGCCCTAGGAGTAGTTTTCTGAGTAGTATGGTATGTGTATGTTTAACCTGATAAGAAGCTTCCAAACTGCTTTCCCAAAGCTATTCAATTGTGCATTACATCATTTCAGTTGTTCAGAGTTCAGTTGTTCCTCATCTTTGCCAGAATCTGGTTCTATCAGTTTTTTATTTTTTTCCATTTTAACCAGTGTAGTAGAAGTGGTATTTCATTATGGTTTTAATATATATTTCTAATGTCTAATTATCACCTTTCCATATATTTATTTATAATCTATATTGCTTCTTTGCTAAAGATTCAAATTTCTTGTTCATTTTTATTGGCTTGCCTTTTTATTGTTGAATTATAAGAATTATGTATGTATTCTGGACCTTTAGAAGATATTTGGAAGTGAAGATTTGCTCTTATTCTATGGCTGCTCTCTTTATTTTCTAAGTAGTACCTTTCAAAGAGAGGGTTTTAAATTTGATGAATTTCTATTTAATAATTTTTTATGGCTTCTGCTCTTCTTTTTTATCTAGGAGATCTTTGCTAAATTTATAGCCATAGTGATTTTCCCCTGTGCCTTCTTCTGAAACTCTTATAGTTTAGGCTTTACAGTTAGGTCTATGATCCATTTAAAGTTGATTTTGTATACATTGTTGTAAAACAATTAATCACATGTAGTTGAGTTTATTTCTGGATTTTCAATTTTTGTTAATCTATATGTTTGTCCTTACACCAATTCCCTACTGTCTTAATTACTGTAGCTTTATATAATAGTAAGTCATGAAATCAGAAAATATGAGTCCTTCAACTTTGTTCTTCATCAGAATCATTTGGGCTAGTATGCTCTTTGCTATTCTATGTGAATTTTATAATTAGCTTGCTAATTTATACAAAAATGTACAAGCATGTTGGAATTTTGATAGGGATTGCATTAAATCTGTAGATCAATTTGGGTAGAACTTAACATCTCAAAAATGTTGAATATTCTCATCCCTGAGTATAGTTTAGCTCCATACTTATTTCAGTATTTAAAATTTTATCAATGTTTTATAGATTTCAGCATACAAATTTTGTTCATTTTATTCTATGTGTTTTATGGTTTTTGTGCTATTGCGAATGATTTTTTATTATTCCAATTGTTTACTGCCAGCATGTACAAATACAATTGATTTTTAATATTTATCTGATCTTCTTCAATCTTACTAAATTCACTAATTCCATTAAATTGCATGTGTAGATTTTTGTGAAATTTTCTATGTAGAATATCATGTTACCTGTGAATAAGACGGTCTCATTTTATCATTTTTTGTCTACATGCCATTTATTTGTTTGTTTTTCTTACCTTTTGGTCTTGGCTAACACCTCCTTTACATGTTGAGCATCAGAGGTGAAAGCAGGCATCATTATCTTGTTCCCAATCTTAGAGAGAAATCATTTAGAGCTTCACCATTATGTGTGACTGTTACTTGTTTTTTAAATATATGCCATTTATCAGATTGAGAAAATTTCCAGTAATCTGACATTCACTTCCTTTTGAGCCCTCACTAGCAGGGCCATCAAAGTTTAGATTTCTTCTAAATGTCTTTTTAAGAAAACGTATGCTTTATCATGGTTTTCTTAACGTTCTCCAGTCTGTGACCACTGAGTGCTTTCAAAGCCACTGCACATTTTTAGAAATCAGTTACAGCAGAACCCCAATTCCAATCATCAAAAATCTTTATTAATTTTCTAATGCTCTGAAACAAATCGCCACAAATGTATCAGCTTAAAACAACACATATTATTTATTTCTCCATGTCTGTGGGTCAGGAATTTGAGAATGGCTTATCTGGGTCCCCTGCTTCAGAGTTTCACCAGGCTGCACTTTTTGCTGGCTGTCAGCTGGCAACCACTCATGGGACCTGGAGACTGTGTGCAGTTTCCTGCCATATAATTCTCCCCCAAGGCAGTTTTGAGTCTCTTAGCCAGATGGAGTTATATAATGTAATTTAGTTGTGGGAGAGACATTCCATCGTATTTGCCACATTCTATTGATCAGTAGCAAGTCACAGCTCCTACCAACACTCAAAGGAAGGAGATTATACAAGGGCGTAAACATCAGGAGGCGAGGATCATGGCGGGGCATTTACAATGTGTCTTCCACATAGCTGATATTATGTGCCCAACTGCTAAACTATATGGGTGTCTGGGTCTATTGTTATTCTATTTTTGTTGTAGTTTTTTAATTGATATATAGAGATGTACATTTTGGATGGGCACATGTGATCATTTGATACATTCATATAATCAAATCAGGGCAATTGGGATATCCATCATTTTAAATATTTATCTTTTCTTTACACTAGGAACATTCTAATTCTCTTCTGGCTATTTTGAACTGTAAAATTAATTAATGTTAACTAGAGTAACCCTACTGATCCATCAAACACCATATCTCATTTGTTCTATGTAACTGTGTATTTGTACATACCACTTCTAATTTAAGCAATTAATAAAAGGAAAACATTTACTTAGTAGAATGAATTATTTGCCAATTTATAAAACATATATATTCTTTGAATTTTTAAATAAATCTGTCACATGTGAAAAGCCACCAAGTTACTTTAGGATAGTAAAATCATTTCATTATTGAGAGCTCCTTACTTAATGTCAGATATTGGATTTCATTGAATACTTTAGAGGAAAGTAAAGGCAACTTAAGATTGTCATCTTTATCAAGTGTGTCCCGCTTGCCATGGAATACTTTCTTCCTTACAGTTCCTCATACATTTTTCTGGAAGTGATTATATTGACAAGTCAGGCCCTTGTCTCTATTAGAAGCTACAAAATGTACCATAAAATTAATGATAAAGTTGAATATCTTTTTTTGGCAGACTTACTGGCTGCATATATATGATTTTTCAAATAACATCAAATCCATTTTTTCATTGTATGTTATTTTCAAAATACAATAATGGACAGTTTAAGAGATTTTAAAAATTCCTTATCCCCAAATAATTTATAATTTTTCCCAGGAACAGAAAATTTCCAATACTAGTGCAAAGTATAATTGTATAAACATTCAACTAAATCTGTAAACAGAATCATATGAGAAAAGTAAAGAAGACATTAATTTTGAATCTAAGTGCAGAGTAACGATTCAATAAATTTGTGTTGAAGTGAATTGAAATAAAACATAGATGTCATTAAATAAGACATACTATGTAATCATATTCTTAACTCTACATTTTTAAGAAGAAAAGTTCAATAGAAAAATGTCAATACATCTTTTTTTTTTAATAATCAGGCTGATTAAAACTAGCTTACTTTGCAAGCTGGTTTTTCATATAACCTATTTTTGGTGGTCCAATTTTGTCATTGGAATCTGCAAAATGTGGTCAATTCTTAAACTCTGAACAAAATGTTCTATGTAATAAGCCAGATTCTTCTAGGGCATAAGCATTACCAAAAAAGAAGCAAAAAAGCAGTATATTTTTTATCAAAGAAGTAATACAATATCGTTTATTACATACATATGGAGAATAGTAGACTGAGAGAACCTGGATAGTTTTGATACATAGGAAAAATATTTGTCCCTACAAATAGAAAATTTGTATTTTAAAAGCCATTTTTTACTGAGTAGTGACACTGTTAGTAAATTATTAGATTAATGGTTTTAACAGTCGTCTAATTTTACATGTATCTTACTGATCATCTTTTTGAAAAGTCATATGTAACTAGTTGTTTTGAATTACAAGACATCAAAGATAATACTTAAATTCCAATGGAAATGTATTTAACATCTGTGTAAACAAATGTATTTAACATCATAACAACTGTCATACTATCAGGACATGAGCTCTAATGCATTACAACAAAGTAAAACACAGAGAAAAGTAATGACCTACCATAGCCTTTCGTTTCTATAAGATTAAGTTCAAACCTTTGAGTTGAGCATTCAAGGACTGTAAACCCTGCCCTCTCCTGATATTCTTAAATATTAACTCCCGATACTCTCATACATAAAGTATTTGCTCCAGAACTCATCTACTCTTCATTATACATCTCAAGCGTCTTCTTACCTCTACATCATAAAAACCCTCATTTTTCACTTGCCTCCCTTCTTTTTCTTTTCTACTTTCATAAATCCTATGTCTCTTAAAAGCATATTTATGGCAACATCCTCTATGAAATCATATCCACACAATTCAGCTCCAAAATACAAACTAGAAAAATGTATTTACAGCAAAAAAACCAATATCAGATTAATATACAGTAAGTCTTCACTTAATGTCATTGATAGGTTGTTGGAAACTCCAACTTTAAGTTACAGGACATACCAGCAAGTCTTCAAATAACATTTTTTCCTTCAACATCATTTCATTATAATGTTGTAGAGAAAATAAAAAAATTGTTTTGTTATACATAATTGCACTTAAACTTGCAGTTTCCAAGAACCTATCAATGACATTGAGGACTTATTACTAACAATGTGTAAAGAATTCTCATAAATCAGTATAAAAATATAAATGTGTTTATTTTAGATTCCCCATAAGCAGATGTTTAGAAAAGAATATAAGCAGTATATTTAGGAGATGAGCCCAGGAAATACTTGTTGAGGGTGTTTTTTCAAGCTGTTTACAGTATTTGGCCATTGGACTTTAACTTTCTGGGGAGCTCTGGGTAACAGTGTAAAACACATACCAGAGCTGTCAAACACAATGGGAGAGAGAGCAGAAGTATTTATATTCCTACTTGTCATTAGGTGAGTACTGTCTCTGAGAGGGACATTAATTCCATGGAACTTGGGCTACCAGGTGCATGAAGAGACCAGGCTTTAGCAGCTGAAGAAAGCCTTCAAACACGAAGGAAAGGGGCAGGGAATCATGATTTGTTCCAGTGTACAACAAAATGATAAAGGCAGGGAGTTCTGGTTGGGGCACCAATAGAAAAATAGGTAAAATAAGTAAACATGTATTTCACAAAAAAGGAAACAAATATTGCTAATAAACTTTTATTCCTAACTAATCAGTGAAGTGATTATTATTGCTATTTTATATTTACCAAATTGGCAAAAACGAAAAAAGCTAACAAAACCAAGGGTTAGGAAGGACATGCAAAATGTGGAACTATTTTGAATGAAATTTGGCTACATCTAGTAAATATAGACTTGCATTCGCTATGACCAATGATGTCACTTCTAAGGATATAACTTAAGTAATCTTTTGTAAATGTATACTATATGTTCAAAAATATTCACAGAAGCCAATATTTGTAATAGCAAAATGAAAAACTAGAAACAACTGTAGGCCGGGCATGGTGGCTCATGCCTGTAATCCCAGCACTTTGGGAGGCCGAGACGGGTGGATCCCCTGAGGTCAGGAGTTCGAGACAAGTCTGGCCAACATGGCAAAACCCCATCTCAACTAAAAATACAAAAATTAGCTGGGCGTGGTGCAGGTGCCTGTAATCCCAGCTACTCGGGAGGCTGAGGCAGGAGAATGACTTGAACCAGGGAGGCGGAGGTGGCAGTGAGCCGAGTTTGCACCATCGCACTCTAGCCTGGGAGACAAGTGTGAAACTCTATTTCAAAAAAAAAAAAAAGAAGGAGAAGAAACAACTGTAATGTTCATTAGAAGGAAAACGGCAAATTGTATATTCATACAATGGAATACTATGCTATGATGGCCAATCTGTCACATCAAAATGGATGGATTTTTTAAATCTAATACTAATTTTTAAAGCCTTTGGAAAATGTTCACAGTATGATTTGATTTACATAATATTCAAAACCATGCAAAACTATGCAACATGTTTTGTTTTAGGGAATTAAATATTTGTGGTAAAGCTGTTTCAAAACAGAACAGTAAACATGATTCAGGAATTTGTGTGGCAAATAGGAAGATGTAGACAGGGAGGGACACCCAGAGGGTTTCAAAAATACTGATTCTATTTCTTGATTCTATTGTGGGTACACATATATTCTTTTATACATATATGTATGTACACACATACATACCCAAATACTAAACATTATATATTTATATATATCTCTCTATATATATATGTGTGTGTGTGTATATATATGTGTGTGTGTGCATATATATATGTAAGTGTTTTATATATACATATAACAAAGTATTGGACATAGGAAGAGAAACCATGAATAAAACTCATATAATGTCCCAGGAGAAGGAGAAGCAGCAGGAAAACTGTTGTAGAAGCAAAGAAGGGGAGAACAAGCAGTAATGGCAACTGTTGCTAGGCAGTGTAGGATCCGAAATAAAATGAGGCTAATGGGATTGGAACTTAGGATGTCAGTGGAGGCCTTGGTGAGTGCATTTCAGTAACAGAGTTGAGGTAGATGCCAGAAAACAATGGCTTGAGTAGTAATAAGAAGCAATGAGTATAGGCAGTTTTTTAAATAATTTTAGCAGTAAATGCAAGGAGGAAGACAGGCTGTAATTTGAGGAGAAGGCAAATTTGAAGGCTATTTAAGAGTATTTTATAAAATAACAAAATCTGGACTAGACTATACATAAAAGTATTACAAATGTTTAAATAGAAATTTACTAATAAAAAAGTCAATATTCCTCTAAAAACAAGTCTCCTGAGAAATCCTTGAACTAAATCTTTTTACATTTAAAATAATAATTTAATCTAATTTCTAAAACTCATAAAGGTTATTTTCTTAATTTTTTGATGCAGTTTATAGCCTTTATGATTGTCTAATTATCTTTTCAATGTTCTTTGTCATTTTTAATAGATATTAATTAGACCAATTTGAATCATGATTTACATACATATTGAGCAGGCATTAAAGAAATCATTAGTCAAGGGGACAACATGCTCCTTCACTTTTCATACTGGGCAACTTTAGTCATCACTGTAACAAATTGTAGACAAATTTTGATGATTAAGTGAAACAGTAACTGGATACTCTTGCCTGACTATATATGTGCATATTCTGTTGAAAAAGGAACATTAGTTTTAAAATTACAAACAAGCCAAACAATTTGAGATTTCCATAAAAAATGTCCTGGCTGGTGTGCATAAGATTAGGCCAGCAATAAGAGATAATGTTGCTAATTTTAGCAGTGACATAAATCTTAGTGTAGGAGAGTAGCATGGAAGTGGATAAATGCTATTTACTTTAATAACAGGCAAAATTTTCAAACTGTAACAACATGCTCAATAAATTCTTTCATTACTGTAATACCAAAGGAGAGTTGAAAAATGTATTACATTTATATTTTTTTCTCCTCAGAGATACATATTTTTGTTCTGTTTCTATAGCAACATCAATGCAATGACTAAAACTTTAACTCCTTTTTAGACTCCCTGATGGCTTCACACAGCTCCTAAACCTGACCCAGCTCTACCTGAATGACGCCTTTCTTGAATTTCTTCCAGCCAATTTTGGAAGGTAAGAATAAGAAATTTAAATTATGCAATTATATTTCACCTTAGGTAAGTGCTTTACTAGTGTCAGTTGATGAGACTTCAAAAGTGCCAGCTGTGATTAAAGATAGGCCTCATTATTATTCAATAAATGAAACTCTGTTAATTAATGAAACTTTTGCAAAAAAATAAAGTAAAATTAGGCCTTTACATGACATTAATAGTCAAATAAATTCTAGATGAATTAAAGAGTTGAATATAAAAAAATAAAGCCAGAAATGATCTGAGGGGAAAAAAGGAGATGAATATTTATGGCTATTTTGTTGAGAAATACCTTTACAGGCACAGACGCAAAGAAGAATACCATAAATGGATAGATATGCTGACCTAAATACTTTTATCATAAAGTATCAGAAAATCAAAGATTTAAGGTAAAACAATAAACTGAAAAATAGTTTCATTATATATGAAAAAAATTATTTATATATTTAACCTAGAATTCTTACATATAAATATGCAAACAAAGATTTTAGGGGAAAATGGTCGAATTACAAGAAAAAAGCAATTCATAATAACACATATGAATGGCTGGGGAACACATAAAACATGTCTGTCTTCACAAATAATAAATATATTACAAATTAAAACAATAAAAGACCTTTATGTTCCAACGTATTGCAAAAACTTTTTTTTAGAGTATAAGAACAGAGATGATCTCATGCTCTCTGATAGGATTGTAGAATGTTATGACCTTCAAGCAGGGCAGTATGCTTTTAAAACCTTTGAAAATATTTACAAACTGTTGCCTCTGTGAATCATTTCTAGAAATGTCTATTACCATTGTCAGTATCCCACTGGGATTTATGGACAAGTTTATTGTTATTTACAAAGTGAAAAAAGTGAAATCACATATCTGTCTAGGATATTGGTTAAATATATTATGGTTCATCTATATGATAATACTGTATAATAATTAATAATATTATCTTAGGAAAGTATTTTTTTTAATTCTTAAGATGTTTCCAATATTAATATGAATCTATATGAAATGAAAGACTGGTATCTTAAAAGTAAAATTACGAATAATTTTTATTGTCATCTTGACATGTTTTTCAATATTTTTCAGGTGTTCTACAGTGAGCTTTTTTGTGCAAAAGATATATCTCAACAGCTAGGACATTTTTAAGTTTATTGTCAACTACATTTATGTAAATGAATATCTTTGAAATTGTTCAAATAATAGACTAAGTGTAGCTTGACACCAATCTGTTGACCGAAGCTGGCACAGGACATTAAGAACTCAGTTGAATAATGAAGTCACTTAACATGTGACAGCCTCCATTTACATACTGAGAGCACATCAACATTTCCCAGATTCCCTTACTTTTGCACATCACACCATCACAACACTTATGAACAGCATATACTTGGGCAGTTTTAAAGTTCACAGAGCATCCAAAGAGCATTGCCTGGCTTCTAAATGAATTGGCATTTCATCATTCATCCATAGAAACTAGCCTTGCCTTTCTGGCACTGACCACAGCATTACAATATACTTTGGATTTATCAAATCAGAAAATATTTAGTTATTATCTTAAGATACATTTTTTTCTTGAACTTTTGTCAGTTCTCTTTAGTCGTAATGTGAGGAAAAGATTTGGACAAGAGAAAAACATAATACCAACACCAAAACCACTTGAAAATAGAATATAATTTTGCATAAATTGCCTACAAAAAAATATGCTCTATTTTATTATTATCATCTAAAAAGGTCTCTAACCTTCAACTGTGTAGTTTAACAAGAGGACACTTAAAATTCCTTTTAATGCCTGGGATTCTGTGCTCCTAAAAGCCAAAATCAGTACAAAATATCATACTAGTACAATTGTTGACAAGATTTGAGACATGCAAATGCTTAAGAAATCTCCTTTACTAGAATATACCCATGCTGTGAAGAACTGAATCACTTTATTTCATATACAGATTAATCATTATAAGATTAAAATTAAATAAAAAAGCTTGATAGGAGGCAAAAAAAAAAAAAGAAAGGGAGAGAGACCTACATGAAAACCTAAAAGTACAGTAAATATGGGAGATGGTAGATGAAAAACTTCGAATAGTAAAATATTTCCCAAAACATTAAGAATTCAGATAATCCAGTTAATATCTGTTCTAAAGTAGCTTCATCTGGGTACATTTTAACATTCAGTATGGACGTGAATAACAATAGTGTGTCCTAGACTACAAAACTTAACAAGTAATTAAGTGTGAAATGCATTCCTAATCACAAATGTTACTCAAGCAACAGAAACTATGAATACTTCTCATTCTTCTCACGTGATTTCCCCAACCCCAGCATTGTCACGGGACATATGATGCGACAGATTTTTAAATGCATGAACTTTTCATAAATGTTAAAATATGCACCTTAGAGTCAATGAAATATGGTATATTGCAACACTTCTCCCATTGTGTAAATAATGAAAATAATAATAGCCAATTCTTATTAAAACTTGTGATATACAAGAAATTATGCTTTACATGTATTACATTATTTAATGTTCCAAACCATACAAATTTGATACTGCTGTCACACACTTATGGATGAGGAAATTGAATTAAGAGAGGTTAATTAATTTGCCCGGTGTCAGAGAGGCAGAATATGAAAGAGTCTGGATTTCACCCAGGTTTGTCTTCCTATAAAATCCCATTTTTTTTAACTCTATGCTATAGTATTTGCTTTTTAGTTTATTTATAGTCTCTTGAGAGAAATTATTGCCATATTCCAGTGAACACAGCATCTGATATTTAGTATACATTCAAATATCAATGAAAATATTGAACAACAAATATATTTTTATAAAACATATGAAATTTAGAAGGCTGGAATCCAAAGATATCTTTTAAATATCTCAGTTAATTTTAGGAAAATGATATTTGTCATTGCCCAATACTGATGTAACCCTACTCATAATCAATATGTAAATTTCTTTAAAATCTATAACCATAGTTAAAAGAATATTTGAACATGGCTCTTTGAATAGTGATAATAATAGTTTACCGTAGTAAAATTTATTTTTATTTTAATTTTTAATTATTATGGGTGCATATAGTTGTATATATTTATGAGGTATGTGTGATATTTTAGTACAGACATACAATGTGTAATGATCAAATCAGGGTAATTGGGGTATCCATCACTTCAAGCTTTTATCATTTCTTTGTGTTAGAAATATTCCAATTCTAGTTTTTTAGTTATTTTTAAATATACATTATTGTTAACTATAGTAACCCTATAGTACTACCAAATACTAGACCTTACTCAATAATTTTTTAGACAGAAATACTAAGAGGAAATTTTTAAAATTCATTTCTGTAGACTTGTCAAATTGCGGATCTTGGAGTTAAGAGAAAATCACTTGAAAACTCTACCAAAGTAAGTGACTGTGTATTTTCTGAATTTTGAACTGTGATATTTTTTCACTAGTAAGAAAAATAACTACTTTTATTTTGTTTGTGTTTTGGTACTTTGAGTTAATTTATCTACACATTTTTCCTAATGACCAAAAAGTATGGTATACTGTAAAAGATTCATATTACGTGAGAATGTATTCTGTTTTATAAAACTGTAATTACAGGTAAAGGTGGAAAGAGTTCACTTAAGTTTCTTCGCATGGCTGAAGATACATGCCAGAAAATTATTGCACTAAAACATATGAAATTGTCATTCTTATAGCTAAAAACAATAGTGTCACAAGATTCAACTTAATAGGATGCTTAATTCTTCAAGTTAATTTATGGATTGTAGTATACCTTTCAGTTTTTAAATCAAGAATATGCCACAAAGTTTTAGGAAAAAAGATTAAAATGTTTCAAGAGATCACAAAGTGGTTTAGCTAAAAGTTATATATTCTTTCAAATTGTTCATTTTTACTAGTCTATTTAAAATTTGGCATATATAAAAATATAGGGTATTTTAAAGTAAAAACTAATCCTTAAAATTTTATGCAATGTTTACCATAATAAAATGCTTTGTTTCACCCAGCTTTGCCTCAGTCATGTGTAACAAGAGAATTTTGTGTTTTACAGAGTTATTTTTGAAAATCAAAATGGGTTTTTTACTCAATTAAATCATTACACTTGTATATATTAAGATGAAAATATTTAAAGTACTATGTTGCTATTATCACCCTTCTGCAGTATTATAGAAAACTATTGAGTACAGTGACTAATTTTTTAAACATTTCAGTAGGACTTAGATACATCTGCTGAACCAAAATGTAACCTTATTTTTTACTTATTAAATCCTTTTCCAAAGCAAACTGGATTGACTAATATTTCAACAACATACCTTCAAGTACATTTTATGTATGATATTGTGTATTAAAATTGTCATTGTAATATAATAACACAATTATGAAAATAACTTTCAATAATGATATGGATTTAATTTGAATATATACATAAAGATAAAATACCTACTTAATACTCCATAAGAGAAGACAAGGAGAGAGCATAGTAATGAGGAAATGTCTGCATATTTCACCATCCAGCACTTCTGAATTATGCCTTTCTCTAAGCTAAAGCACTGGGTATGGGCCTAACCCAGGGGACCCCTCCCAGGTTGGGGGCATAAACAGGTGGAAATATGGTTGAGGGTGTTAATTGTTCAAGTGGAAATTTCCTGCAAATGCAGCTAGTGCCACGGAGTCCATCCCTCATGCTTTTGTCTGCCACATTTAAAGTAAGTGCGAAACACGGCTAACTGGAAGCTAAACCAAGATAGAAAAGCAGGTGTCCCCTTCACCTAAATATATACATTTAGGTCAAGGAGAAAATATTGAGTATGCAGAGGAGAATCCTTTTCCCTCTGTTCTCAAATAATGGTTTTCCTTTGAAGTAGAAAATAAACCTGACATAGGTTGTTAGGTTTTTAAATATATATCTTTAAATATGAATCTTAAATATAAATTAAAACCTGATATAGATTGATAATACGGACTTTATATGAGGTAGCTGTGTGAATAAATCAGAGTACTGAGGAACAATAATAACAACAATAATTGGTGCTGGGGTATTGTGCAGGCTTTCAGATTTTGGTTCAGTATTAAACAGAATTAAAATAAGTAGAATAATATGCATAAATGAATTTGGACATAGAAAAATGTTGTAAAGATATATTAGAACTGGTGTTGGGTCTCTTTGATAGACTCATATACATATAACTTATATAGCTGTTACATTTTAAGAAACATTTTCAAAGTTACTTGCAATCTAGTGTGTTCATTTTATAACCTACAGACCAAAATCTAAAGAACAAAATTCAGGCATAAAATATAGATAACTTTAGTTTTGGGTCTATAGAATGAGAATCGCAGAAAGAAATTCTTCTTTGAATAAAAATAAACTTTGTTTTCACTATGTATTATACCTTTTGATCACCAGTCTATACCTGTAACTTAAAGCCACGTGAGAGCAGTATAGTATCCTTTATTTTGCACTCCCAATAAAAATAAAGGTAAAAACATAGTTTTAGGAAAAACAATTTTAGTTTAACAATAACTATTCTGAGAAGAGATAACTCATGATTTACTTAGGGAAACAAACAAGATGTTGGATTTTTAGTTATTTTCTCTTCTTTTCATCTTTTAAGTCTATATGCTTAGCGATCTGTGCAAAATGTGAATGTGTGTAAGAATTATAATATAACATGCATTAAGATGTACATCCTTTAAGCAAACTGATAGATACACTTAGATGTATGCAAATTCTAGGATAATTTTTTTCTGTTAAAATAGTATTATAAATTTCCTTATAATGTTTATGATCATTACTCTACATACATCAAGGAGGAGTAATAAAATTAAGTCCTTCGGAAATGCATTTGCCTAAAACTCATTGAAACAGTCAAGTCTTGATTATTTGTAATAATAGAAGATAGTAAACATCTGAAAATAACTAGAATGCCAAAAGGAAAAATTTTTAGATTCTATGATACAGTTTTTCCTTATAGAAGAATTATCTTCTTCATTGTGTTTTTTGAGGGATAGTCAGAAAATGTGGAGATGGTAAAGAGAATTCAAATGAATGTTAGATGTCAAGGGAAAACCAAGCCTTTGTTTCCTTATTTGTTTGCTTATTTATTCCTTCCTTCATTTGTTTGTGTAAGAGCATCTCAGGGTCAGGAATCAAAGAGAGGCTGGATTCTCAGTGATGCTGTCTCAGGGTGTCTCATGAGGCTTGAATGGGCCAGGGTTTGCCTCAAATCTCACTCAAGTGGTGGTTGCCAAATGGGTTTCTCACTGATGATAGGCTGGAAGCTTTCCATTCTTTTCCTATAGAAGCTCATGTGTGCTTCTCTATAGGGCTACTCTCAGTGTGGCTGCTTGCTTCCTTCTGAGCAAGTGATTTGAGAGAAAGAGTGTACATCTAAGACAGAAGCCTTGGTCTTTATCTAATCTCAGAAGTGATATACTATGATGTCTACCATATGCTATTGATCACAGAGACCAAATCTGGACCATTTCTTCCAAAGTATGGAAGAAAACAATGTTAAGACTATAAATACCAGGAGACAGGGATTAATGGAGTCCATTGTAGAGGTTCCTACAACAGGTCTGGTTCTCAGCATTGCTAGTCTAGAAATTCAATGCCAACATATACTAGATGCATCAGACACAGGAGGCCGACACACAAATCATCAAATGCACGGGGGATTTTATCTTAGCACAGGACACTCTGTTTTCCAGAACTCCAGCTATACTGGTGTTCCTCTTGAACAAAACAAGTGTGTTCCCATTTTAAAGGTTTTACACCGTTGAGAATTTTCTTTCTATACCTTTGCATCGTTAGGTCTTATGATTTATGTCTCTCTTCAGATAACTGCCTCCTCAGGGGCCTTCCCCAATTATGTCATATAAAATTGTCTCCCTTCTTCTTTACACCATTTCATTATTGTATTTGATTTTCATCATAGCACTTACTGCTTTCTGTATGATTTTGACTCTTTGCGTACTTGGAGATACCTCCTCAAGACAGTATAAGTTCCATTAATGAGAGGTTATTTCCACTTGGTCACTGTGGACTCTCCAATGCCTTAAACATGGTAGACATTCCAAACGAGAATGCTGAGCTAAGGATTCACAATAACAAGTATCTGTCATGTGACCTTGACATTTTGCGTCACTTGATTATTTTTCTCCACAGAAAATTATATGGGAAGCCAAACACTATAATCAGATTAATCTTGAAGAGCAGCATGAAGTCAGACAAGGACAAACGATTGGGATTTCTCAATAGCTGATAGCCCAGACTTGGATTTTATAAACCTACACACATTTTCTCTCTCTCTAAATGGTTTCAAGTTAGGCACAATAGTTAAGACATGACAGGGAGAAAAATAACTTCATATTAACTAAATTAATATTTGTAACAACTAAATAAAATACAAAAATGGTATAATATTTGCTTTTTATTAAAATGTGTCACATTTCATCAAGAAACAAAATATATGTCAAGATAAAAATGAAGGGATAAAAACAATTTTTTAAAATGAAATTTAGAAATTTTTTCCACAGAAGTAACATAACATCATATAAATGATTGGTAATAATCACGGGTTTTAACTTTAAATAAAACTGTCCCATATGTGTGAGAAGAATTTTTCTAATACCCTAAAGTTAAAATAAGGCCTCATTCATTAATAATTTATCAAGACCATGACTAATTTTGTTTCAACTAGAGTTTAAATATATTATGTAAATGCATGTGTTAATTATGAAACTATGAAGTAATATGAAGAAAAGGAAACATAAATTAAGGTAACATGAATATTCATGTCTCCTGATGCACAAGGCATGAAGCATGATACCTCACTTTGCTGTCATAAACACTGACTAAGAGAGGAATGTTCAAATATATTCCAACAGAATTAATGGGGTAATATCGGTAAATACAGTAAAACCTGATGAATATATTCAAAATTGGGAAAGTGGATAGATTTGGTAGATGAAGAATGCTGAGAGTTGTTGGAAGAAGTTCTAAGTGGAAACATAAATCTGAAGTAGTGACAATATCTTTTGGGTCATTGACCCTTCAGAGAATCTGAAAAAAGCTATGGAATATAGAAAAGTATTAATTCTAAAGTTCAACTTGTATCTATTTTCAGTATATGAATAGTCTATTGTGAATATACATGTTCTTATTTTCACCTAGAAGTAGAATATTTTGCCTTTTATGTAAAATAAGCCACATCAAAATACCTAGTATTGGCTAGGAGCAGTGGCTCACATCTGTAATCCCAGCACTTCGGGAGACCAAGGCAGGTGGATCACTTGAGGTCAGGAGTTTGAGACCAGCCTGGGCAACATGGTGAAATTCTGTCTTTACTGAAAATACAAAAAGTAGCCAGGCATAGTGGTGTGCAGCTGTAACCCC